GACAGGAAGCAACATGAGCATGAATAGCGGCGTAGCACCGATGGGGACATCGAGAAAAGACTCTGGTCTTTCCAGCAGGCTAACCAATACGTTTGCTCTCTCCCTGCGACAACTGATACTTGCAGATAATCAGATCGATGATGATGTATTTGAGCAAATCACGCTTCTTAGTGAATTGCGAGTTTTAAACTTGTCATACAACGACCTCAGCGACATGCCCCAGCGATGTATCAAGAACTGGCCGCAGCTCGTTGAGTTGTACCTGTCGGGCAACGATTTAACCAGTTTGCCTGTTGATGATCTGGAAGAATACAGTCTCCTCCAGGTGCTCCACATTAACAACAACAAGTTCACAAACCTTCCGGCAGATATTTCAAGGGCAAAGAAGCTCGCTGTGCTTGATTGTGGAAACAATTCTTTGAAGTACAACATCTCGAATGTGCCATATGATTGGAATTGGAATCTCAATCCCAATCTGCGCTACCTTAACTTGTCAGGCAACAAACGTTTGGAAATCAAACAGAACCCTCATGGGACCGCTGCACAGAATCGCGACCAATACACAGATTTCAGTCGCCTGCTAAACCTCCGTGTCCTTGGGTTGATGGATGTGACCCTTACTCAACCCAGTATACCCGATCAAAGCGAAGATCGTCGTGTTAGGACGTCCGGCTCATTAGCGGGACATCTTCCATATGGTATGGCAGATACGATGGGAAGAAACGAACATCTCTCTACCATTGATCTCGTTGTCCCTCGATTCAATTCATCGGATACAGAAACCCTGCTCGGTTTATTCGACGGCCAAGCCCTTTCTAGCGGTGGCTCTAAGATAGCCAAGTACCTGCATGAGAATTTTGGGCATATATTCACGACGGAATTGAAGAACGTAAAGACACGCCAAAACGAAGGACCAGCGGATGCACTTCGCCGTGCTTTTCTTTCTCTAAACAAAGATTTGGTCACTATAGCTATTGAGCACACAGAAAAGAGGCCACTAGGCACGCATCGCGGGTCCGGAGCCCCCGTAGTCTTGAGCAAGGAGGATCTCAATTCGGGAGGCGTTGCCACTATCGCATATCTACAATCTCAAGAACTGTACATAGCCAACGTCGGTGATGCACAGGCAATGCTCATTCAGGCGGATGGCTCTCATAAAATTTTAACACGGAAACACGATCCAGCTGAACCTACGGAACGCCAGCGAATTCGAGATGCTGGTGGCTGGGTATCCCGCCAAGGGAAATTGAACGATCTCCTCGAGGTTTCTCGTGCCTTTGGCTATGTTGACCTGATGCCATCTGTACAAGCAGCGCCTGATGTCAACCATGTCTCAATCACACCCCAGGACGAAACGATCGTGATTGCGACTAAGGAGCTATGGGAATATCTCAAGCCCGCGCTAATTGTTGACGTTTCACGGTCTGAGCGAGGCGACCTTATGCGAGCTTCACAGAAGCTGCGGGATCTCGCTATGGCTTATGGCTCAACCAGCAAGATTATGGTCATGATGATTAGCGTTGCCGATCTCAAGCGACGGCAAGAGAGGTCGACGCGTCTGCATAGGGGGCAAAGCATGTCCTTGTATCCCTCAGGCGTTCCGGACGAATTTCAATACCCGGCAAAGAGAGGCAAGAAACCAAAAGGCGGAATCCTGGACTCGGATCTACATCGGCTGGAGGCTGAGGTTCCTGCGCCGATTGATAAGCCTTCTATCGTTTTCACTGATATCAAGAATTCTACTAATCTGTGGGAGATGTATCCTGATGCTATGAGGTCCTCCATTAAACTCCACAACGAGGTCATGCGCCGGCAACTTCGACGAATTGGTGGGTACGAAGTCAAAACAGAAGGTGATGCTTTCATGGTATCCTTCCCGACTGCAACATCCGCGCTACTGTGGTGCTTTTCTGTCCAAATGCAGCTCCTTGAGGTGAATTGGCCGTCTGAAGTACTCAATTCGGTCTCATGTCAGGAAATCTTCGACAAGGACAGCAATCTGATCTTTAAGGGTCTTTCTGTCAGAATGGGTATTCATTATGGTGAACCAGTGGCCGAGATCGATCCTGTTACCCGCCGTATGGACTATTTTGGGCCGATGGTCAACAAAGCCTCTCGTATTTCCGCAGTTGCCGATGGTGGCCAGATTGCAGTGTCTGCAGATTTTATCTCCGAAATACAGCGATGCCTCGAGACGTACCAAGAAAACGATCGGGCAGTATCGATGGGCTCGGACGAAGCTGAAGCATTTGACGACACGACAACCGCACTAGCCATCCGGAGGGAATTGAAATCACTCACCTCCCAAGGTTTCGAGGTTAAGGAGATGGGTGAGAGGAAACTAAAGGGACTAGAAAATCCCGAGTATGTCTATTCTCTCTATCCCCATGCACTCGCTGGCCGAATCGATTACCACATGGCTCCTACTGCAACAGTCGGTCCGTCCGATCAGCCTGCGCGACTTGTGCCCGGGAGTGAACTTGGCATCGATCCGGAGATGATCTGGTCTCTATGGAAAGTCAGCCTACGCCTAGAGATGCTTTGTAGCAGTTTAGAGGAGATGTCGGGGAGAGGGTTGCAGCCTCCTGAGACTGAACTGCTCGAGCGCATGCAGCAGCGTGGTGGTGAAGTCACAGATCGTTTCCTATTCAATTTCATGGAACATCAAGTGAGCCGCATCGAAGTAAGTTGTCGATTCCCGTACAGCCCCAGCCCTTTGCTAACTGGCTGTCACAGACATGTATCTCAACCCTAGCTTTGCGGCACGCTGCCATAGGTGGCGGTCATATTAAACAGCTAGAAGATCTCCGCGCACCGATGGCAGTCATACTCGGTCATGTCACCCAACAAATGGCCGAGCTTGAAAGATACAGGGCCAAGTACGGTCCTCTTGAGAGTTCCGAAGACGAGGGAAGCGACACAGAACAAGAATAGGAAGATCTGTTCTACGTTTCTTCCTCCCAGTCTCCGAAACACTGTACAATGGTACACCCCCATGACCACCTTTTCGATCTGGCTGCCTAGGCCATTGACTCGGCTCTATTCTACCTACAGCATTATATTATATCTTTATTCAGCCTGAAATGCGCTATGAAATCATCTCTTAACGACAGCAAGGGAATGACTTGTTTTGTTTAAGTTTAAGGACGGCGGGTGGGTGAAACGGCGTTTCCTAGGAGCTAGCATATCCAGGATTATCAAAAGGAATCTGTTTTGACAGGGGTGGCCGCCTCTAGCCTCAATTATGCTTTTTCTTGAATACCTCGATACCCGAGGAGGGTTGGGTTGGCGATAACTTGTGGATTATGGCATTGGATTGCTGCGACCGTCGATTACTCTGTAATATGGTCCTGTATCGGGCGTTGCGGTATTTGAACGGGATTGCATTAAAGGGAGGAGCAATTACGTCTGCAGTGCTCGACGTGGCGAGATGGGCCGGCTTGCTAATAAATGGGTAGAAAAGGATTGAATGAACTATTATTAATCATGACTATGCCTTGGTTATATTTTAACCCCCTTTGTATGAAGTCCGGGTTTCATATCCTACTATGTGTCTCAAACCCGACAACTCAACCACGTCTAGTATGTACTTACCTCCAACTAACAGTCCGTGTATGAGGAAAGCCGTTGGACTGGTAAGTAGTAGCTTCAACCAACGATTCCTACGTATAATCCGCAGACAGGCAGTTTTTTCCCCGTCTTGTTTACCTTTCTTTACCTTAAGTATGATTCAGTGTTTCTAGTCTCCCTGTGATGAATCTAAGATCGATTAACTGAGAGTATGAGTAGAGGATATAATTGCATTTTGCTTTCTGCCCTACAACAATGAAGCACGATTAAGTGAGGCGAACCTAGTCTTTGTCGCAGACGAAGAAAGTTGATTAGGTACGTAAAACCATTACTGTTACTGTTATAGAAGCTTCACACCCCCTATTATGTGGAAGACAGGACTCAAGCTATCATACCTACTACTACTCCCTCCCTATTGCCTCTCTTTACCGGACCATCTGTGACTTTCTCCTACACTCCGTGCATATCCCCTGGTTGACTCGAGTGTTATAGGGCCCGTCTAACCGTCCACATTTGCCGAACCGCTTGTCCGCCTTCAGCACCTCGAAACACTTTTGATTGATGTGCTCGGTCGAGATGACTGCTCCGCATTGGACGCACGCTTGGTGCTTGTTTTCCGAGTAGCACATAGTCTATCTGTCTGTTGCGGCGTTGGCTTGCTCTTCCTGTTTTTTTCTTGGCTTATTTACAATTATCACATGTTGTGTTTGGATTGAGTTTGAATTGACAGTGGAAGCCATGTGAAAGAGGCTGTAGCCAAAGCCACCCATTTGTGGGCTTTATACCTGGCCTGCAACTGCTTTGTTGTTACGAGACTCGCCCCTCAGAATGCATTCGATTGGAATGGTACACGAACAAGGCACTATTTCTTTCAACTGCGGAGAAATTGGGGGAAACCAAAAAAAGAAAAGAAAAGGAAACTTGTCAACGGGAAAAATATTCTTCAATGCTCATTGAATCAATCCCATATGGTTCAGTTGTAGTTCCTCCGGAGTCATCCATCTTGTCAGGCGACAGCTTAGAAAATCGTGAAAGGGGCACTACATGTAATAGCCCATAAATTCAAACGCTTGTGCCACTATTAGAAGTATCAGTGAAATTTCACAAACTAAGAAATTAATGACATGAGTATTAGTTAGTTGGCCATTTCATGGCCAGAGTACCTATGAAAAGTTAGAGGAAATTTTTCTTTTTTTTAAAAAGGACTTAAGCATAACAATCCCCCTAGTCTAGTATTTAACATTAAACAGCAGGCAACATAAACCATACTAAACAAAAATACATATATCTTATAAAATAAACAGGAATTAAACTTAGAACTTATACAACTTAATGAAAGTTAAGTTATTGTGTAAGTATCACCTACTTTATTATTACATGTGTAAACAATTTCAAAAGAAAGCAAAAGTGAAAAAAAAAGAAAGACAAGTTGCACCTGCCGGGATTTGCACCCGGGTCCTTTCCTTCCTAGCCCGAGAGGTAATGGGAGGGAAATGAGTTAACTACTACTCTACAGGTGCTTGTTGCTGTTGCTCTTCCTCTCCGTATGATTGCTTATGCCTATTGCCTATTACCTGTTGCTCATGCCTTGCTTTGTGAAACGCGTACACGGTAGGTACCTAGGTAAGTATGTATGTATGTATGTATGTATGTATGTATGTATGTATGTATGTATGTATGTATGTATGTATGTATGTATGTATGTATGTATGTATGTATGTAGAAGAGGTAGGTACTTGTGTACCTACCCGATTCCTTCTATCACTTGGTTACACAATACCTACCGTGTGTGTGTGTGGTCTTGGTTTGTGCTAGGCAGCAGACCCGACTCTTCGTTTGTCTTTCACATAGAACTGGATAATGAAGCTGTTATCAGACAGACTTCTTGTCTTTCCTCGCCTCACTATCATGGTAGATAATTCATATCACATACACGGCAGAACATGTATACTACTAGGCTAGAATCCTATACATTTGGTTACCCAAGTCTATGTGCGAGGCTGACAATCTACTATATATGCGGAGCGGGACCTACAGCACTCGTAGGTGAGAATTCTCCCGTTTTGTCTTAAACTGCGAGATACCCGTGGGCAAATCACGATATGTGCTGATATCAGAAGGCCTGAAGCGCATGTTGGCACCTGCTGTGCGGTTGCCTGCGTCTACAAGGCTATCTATCTACTTGCTGATATAACGTACAACCCGCCCTGACAAACAACAATACATAAGGTATGCAGACGTATTAGCAATAGGTGTGTTGACATATTTTGAATTAAAGATGAGTATCTTGACCCAAGATCTAGATAGCATATGACTAACTTAGCTGGTGTGCATTGTATCACGTCGAATGTCTATAGGAGAGATGGAGTAAGGTGAAGATAGTTAAATTTGTCTATTTCTAGGCTTTGAAATGTTGACTTCCAAGAGGTATTATTAGCTCGCTCTCTCTGGTGGCACGGCCATGTATAACGAGACATTGTAATCTGCTTGCCTCTCTCTGGGTAGGCAGTTCTAGCACATCTACTATAAAAGCCCTTCCTTATCTTTCTCTTCCTCACTCTTCCCATGTAGCACAGACAGACGTACACTTCGAATACACCACGAGCCCCAAGACGCAACTCTATACACCGGATGATGCCTGAATCTGGGTCATCCACGTCGCTATATAGAAGCCTGCTTGTCGTCAGCAGACAGCCGTGTCGCACCGAATAGATGGCGGCCCAAGCAGCCTAATAATAGTATGCCACAAGAATATGTCCAAAGGGTATATATGCAGTCCAGTCCAAAATAACATAATACACACGCCGAGCAAAACATGTCCCTTTTACCCATTATAGACAACCAAATCCTACCACAACTCAGGACGCTGGGCTGGGGAGTTCTCATGATCCTGTCAGTTTCCTCCACCAGCTGCTTCGAGGCGTCGTATCCATAAACAATGGTTCCCGCTGCGCCTTTTCTCCGCTACCATCTGACCGGCGCTCTCGGCGCTCGCGCTCTTCGCGCCGTGCACGCCTTCGTCTCTGGTCATCTTCGTACTCTCGGTTCACGTCGTCGTATCTTTCCCGCTCTCGCCGACGGGCGGCTCGCCGGGCGGCACGTCGAGCTTCGTCATCCGTCGCCGGAGGAGCATCCGTCGTCAACCCGTCCTCCGGGGGTGGACCCGCGTCTGAATGTTCCTTCACCCACGAACTCGTGCCCGAATGTGGCCAAGTTGGCGTTCTTTTCTTAGCACGCTCATCATCTGTGTGCCTTGAGGACCTTTCGCGGGGATACACATAATCTTCCGTTGGCATAGACCGGTTGCGACTGACCTTCTCAGCCCGCCTGGCCTCGCGTCTTCGTCGATGCTCCTCTTCGTCTTCGGATCCTTCGACATGTCGCATGCGTCGTCGCTCCCGGGCAGCCCGACGAGCTTCCATCTCTGCTTCCTCAGCGGTAGCGGCTTCCTTTCCGAGTCGGCGGCGACGGTGGCGTTCTGCCCTCTCGGCTTCCCTCGCGTCTACCTCTTCGTTTGCGAGCCTCGCGAGCCTCTGGGCTTCACGCTCTCGTGCAGCCCTCCGCTCCGCTCGTCGGGCTTCCCGGTCTTCTTGTCTACGCGCGTCTTCTTCTTCCTCTTCTTGACGTCGACGCCTCTCACGACGAGCGTCTTTGGCGCGTCGAGCCTCTTCAGCCTTTTCCTGTTCTCTCGCTGCTCGCCGAGCGGCGCGTCGAGCTTCACGATCGACGTCCATTTCCTGCTCTGCGCTGCTCATTCCTCGTGTGCGTCTTGCTCGCTTATCAGGTCTTCCCTCATTGTCGGTCGCATGATAAGTACTTCGACGACGTGGTTCGGGGCGAGGCTCAGAACGAGGATTCGAGGACATGAGACCACCAAAAAGACCGGAGATACCCTTCTTGGCACTCGAGTTGGACCGCCTCAAAGGTGGCCGGTCAGTAGGGCCTCCCACATCGACCATAATGATATCATCGTCTGGTCTTGCCTATTTCGAGGTTAGTGATGAATACTAGGGGTTTGAGTAGTACAGGTCCTTGTTTACCTTAGATCGCTTGCGCGCCGACTTATCAGGGCTTGACACAAAATCGCGGGTTCCGACCATAACGATGTCATCGTCCTCAACGACACCGCGAGTTCTTGAGATTCTCCGGCTGCGGTTCTTGTCTACCCCTAGAAGTCGTGCTGCCTTGGAGGTCATTTCGGGCATCTCCTCGGGTGGAGGTGATACAAGTCCACCGCTCATATCAACGGAGTGGTGCCTTGAGCTAGATTTGCGCCCTTGCCTCTCGCGTGTTGACATAGAGCGCGAGAGAGGAGGCGTGCTTTGAAAAAGGCTATTCATGCGCGGCCTGGAACTTAGCGGAGCTTTCTGTTCTTGTCGATCTGCTTTATCCGAGCCTGAACTCTTGGAATACACTTTCTCTTCTCTCTCCTTCATCGGCTTTTTGGCGTCGGGTCTAGACTTCGATGACTTCTTTTCTTCCTTTTGCGGTGAGGCTGAAGCTGACCACATACCCCATGATGCGCTACCATCACGACTGATCTTGGCTCGTTCCTTCTTGGAGGATTTGGACTCAGCAGGGGGTGATGGAGGTGTGGGGGGGACTTCGGGTACCGCAGGCGGTGGAGGAGGCACAGCAGGAGGCACGGGAGGTTGGGCAATGTCCCTGGATTTGTTCTTCTTGCTCTTCTTCGGCTTCTTCTGTACGGGTGGTGCGAGGTCAATTATTTCGACGATCTCATCGTCAGCTCCACCATCATCTTCGTCTATTGGTAAGCTTCTCGATTCTTCTTCTGCATGTACCGCTTCAGGAACTTCAGCAACTTCATCTTCGCCCAAGGCGTCAATGTCATCGACTTCATCAGGAAATTCGTCAGCAATTCCGTTAGGAAGTCCGCCATCATGAATTTCGTCATGGAATTCTTCACCCTGAAATTCATCATTATGAACTTCATAATCGTGAACTTCATAATCGTGAATTTCTTCATGATCTTCGTCAGTCATTGGGAAACTGCCAGGAAGGATGTCCTGGTCTTTCTGGGATGCATTAGGTTGAGGTGGTGCGGGCGCTTCGGGAAGCACATCGATTAGGTCGCCGTCGAAATCATTTTGTGGCGCCGACTCGAACTTCTTTAGCTTTTCGGCGAGCTTACTTCCTTTGACCTTCTTCTTCGGCATCGGCATCCAATCGTCATTGAGAGCCTTCGAAGAGACGGGCGTTGCGTCATCTGGAGTGGCATGTTCCAGAACCTGGGTTGACTCAGCAATCGTCATCTCGGTTGCTGCCGGATGCTGGGGTTGAGAGGTACTTACCGTTTCGGGAAGTGAGCTCTTCGGTGGACTCTTGGCACCCCAGAGCGCGAGAGAGGTACTTACCGTTTCGGGAAGTGAGATGTTCGGTGGACTCTTGGCACCCCAGAACGCGAAGGGATCCTCGCCTTTCTTTGGCTTCTTTAGCGGCGCTAGGCCTGATAGGATCTCATCAGCTTGTTCGGCTGTCAAATCCATATTGTCCATGTTGAAGTCGTCGTCGTCGTCCTTCTTCCTTTCCTTGCTGCTGGGTTTCGACTTCTTGTCATCTGACTTGGAGCTCTTCTTTGACTTCTTCTTAGAAGAGGCAGCAGCTACGGCCTCCTGTCGCTCACGTTCAGCTTGTTCCTCCGCATCGCGGGCGGCTTGGGCAGCCTGCTCTTCTGCTTCACGGGCAGCCTGCTCCTTGGCCTCTCGTGCAGCGGCTTCTTCGGCCTCTCGGGCGGCCTGTTCTTCTGCTTCAACCGCGGCCTGCGCAGCATCATCGTCAGCTTCTACACTAGCATTAGCATCGGAACGAGCGTCTATCTTCTCGGTAAGCTCGTCTAGTCGCTCTTGATCCTTTTTGCTCAACTTCTTCTTTCTCTTCTCCATCTTCTCCGCCTTAGTTTTTAAGGTTTCGAGCTCTGCTTCCTCTGCAGCTTCCTCCGCTTGACGTATAGCTTGTTCCTGTTCTTCAGCCTCACGAGCAGCTTTTTCTTCAGCCTCACGAGTAGTCTGTTCTTCGGCTTCACGAGCCGCCAACTCTGCTGCCTCACGAGCCGTCTGTTCTTCTGCTTCGCGTGCCGCTAGTTCTTCAGCCTCGCGTGCAGCCTCTTCATCGGCCGCGGCTTGTGCTGCTGCTGCTTCATCAGCACCTACAGCACTTGCACGGGCGTTGATCTTTTCGGTAAGCTCATCTAGTCGCTCTTGATCCTTTTTGCTCAACTTCTTCTTTCTCTTCTCCATCTTCTCCGCCTTAGTTTTTAAGGTTTCGAGCTCTGCTTCGTCTGCTGCTGCTTCTTTAGCCTCGCGAGCAGCCAGCTCCTCAGCCTCACGAGCAGCTTGATCCTCGGCTTCATGGGCAGCTAACTCTTCAGCTTCGCGGGCCTCTTCAGCCTCCCGAGCAGCTTGCTCTTCTGCTTCACGAGCGGCCTTTTCTTCGGCCTCGCGTGCGGCCTGCTCTGCTGCTTCAATTGCGGCTTGCTCCTCTCCATTGTCAACTACTGCAT